AACTACGTGTTTGGTTGATATTCGAAGCAGAAACTGCGCCGCTACTCTGTTTCTGTCATTTCGGCTTCTGTCCATTCGGACGTATATTATTCGACACGAGATGCCGGTAATGAGCTGTAATGGTCGGTTCGGCGGAGACGTGATGCCCCACGTAGCAAGTTCATGTTTTCCTCGCAGTCTGTTCCTTTGACACAAGCAGCTAGAAGGGAATGTGTCAGGGTTTAATCACCATGCTCATCGTCAGCGTGACTCTTCTTTACAGTCCAAGATCTCATCCCTCATTCCGCTCCATTCCCATTATTTGCAGGACGTTTTATTCCGTCCGGAACCCTGAGACCCCTCAAGCAACAGCGGGCACTGGACTGGTCATTGGATTCAGGATCCGCAGGTTTCCTGTGAAGCGTACCCCCGATGCCAGTTCTAGAGTGGGTTCGTTCGGGGACGATGCGGGTAGGACCCCCCGGAAGTTTCTTTGAGGAACTTGCTAAACGCTACAAACAAAGACTTATCCCCATGACGTTTTCTGAACCTTCGGTCGTAACACTGATTTACACAACTGAAGATTCCGTTTGTTGGGATGGCGGGTACAATCTTCTCTATCGGGGCTGCGATAGACGCATCATAAGCTGAAAGCTGAAGATAAGTTCCGTCGTCGCGGATAAGGCGGCATGAGAAGCTGCAAAAAGACTCCCATGGATAACTGGGTGCCGGAGAACTGCGGTGCCGCGATCGCTGACACCTTTATTTGATTGATGACGACTCGACGCAATCAGCTTCCCTTGGCCGTACCGGAGAGAAAAGTAAACATGCGTTATTCAACGCGAGGCATCCTGGCAGATCATTCATAGCCTCGCGGATAGATTTTCGCTGCCTTGATTGTCTCGAAGGGATCTCATCTGATTTCGATTTCTTCAACGCTGCTCACACCGGAGTGGCCTTCGAGCCTTTTGACACATGGGATATCGAATGAGCTTTTGTCGCCTCAGGTGATGATTCAATATTAGTAGTAGGTCCGATTCGCAGAAAAAAAACATCGTGGCGCGAAGGTCGCCGCGCTTGCTCCGTGCAAACGCCAGGGCAGAAAACTAAACTTCACGAAAGAGGGGGGGGGTAGGATTTTTCCAGAGATTGATGAAGGAAGAAAACGCTGTCAAGGTCGCAAAGTTTCTATTCCCATGTCAACCAGACCGCCTCTTTTCAAAGCTCCTTAGAGCAATTACTTCTGTAGTCCTTGGAGGCATTGAAAAGATGAATTCAAAAGAGATTTCACCGATGGAATATCAGCTGGAAACTATCGTATCACGATTCCTCGACGTGTGACCTTTATTTGAGGAAGGTGTTAAACCTCCTGACCGGACCCGAATGGGCAGCTCTCGCGCTGATTACGCGGAACGTCAGAATGACGAGCCGATGTTGCTTCTGTGACGCTGCCAGAATCTACCGGGCTCTAAATATAGTCTTGCTAAGATCACGAATTGAAACCTTTGTCAGAAAGCGGCGCCCGATCGGGAGTTTCTGGCACGCAATCGTCGACTTTCGTCAGTGAGCATAAGCCGACAGGGCGAGGCATGCTCTCCAATATCGTGAGCTGGATATTCGATATTCGTCGTGTATCGGGCAGAGGAATGTGACGAGCTGGGAGGAATGTTAACGTGGACCGGGAACTATTCACGAAGTATCAGGTAATTCTGTCACCGGAAATTCATATCTCCATCCCGACAATGATTGTAATTATTGCCCAGCAAGTACATACATCGTTACATGTATCGCCTGCTTGATTCGAATATCAGATTATAGGCTCTATTATACATATTCGTTTTAAATATTCAGAAGCACCTACAGCGGTCAGGGTTGCAGCCCCTACGAGTTGAAAGCATCGGTCGATCGGCTCGAAGAAAGACTAAAAAAAATCGAGTTCATCCGATCGAACTTCACCTTCCCGGGTGATTTGGATTTCGGTCCGTCGAACCACCAAAAACAGCGGTGCAAAAATGAAGAAAATAGGCTGTGGTTCTATAAGGTGACGTTCTTGCCTGCTCCACTCAAGCTTCGATTGGAATCTTCTGTTGGTTGACGATGGATTCGCTCAGTCTCAAGCTCGGAATAGATCGCTGCTTTCGGGGATACTATATGACTTGAATTCCGCTCCGAAAGATGGGGGATCCACTTCATCTCGCAAAAGGGAGAGCCGAGAGTATCACGCTTATCTCATCGCGGGATAGGGGGAAAGCCACACTCGTCAGTTCTTCAGTCAATGTAACTGTCGAGGAGCCCTTTCAGAATTAGCCAATGCCGACCGTCGATTTGGAATCGAGATCCCCTGCTTCAGCGGACTTTCCTTTCTCAGGCGACTTTGCATTCCGGGAAGGTTTTCCGGTCAGAGAATATTTCACAGTCTCGACCCCCTGACTCGCCTACCGAATACCCAAGTCGATGAACTTCCAGGTGTTACCCGAGGGATTGACCTGTTCGAATATCACATTTATTTTGCCGGAACCTCTCGGACGGGAAGCCGAAATTCAAGGCAGAGTAGTCCCCAGGAATCTGCGTTCTGGAACGGGGCTCGCAGAGCCGAGCTGTTGACAGAATACGCAGAGTCTGCGTCTCCAAAACTAGGTAATGTTCAAGTGTAAATAACCGAGTTGATGCTGACCCGCTCGCCGGCTCTCCCTTCTCACTGCCCCGACGACGATTCGTACATTGCTTCGTTAGTTCGTCTGACCGTTTTGTCTCGCGGGCGTTAGGTCGGCCATTCCTTCGTTCGTTCGTTCGTTCGTTCGTTCGTTCGGTCGGTCAACGTGAGAGCCATTAGCACCGTAATGTGAGACGCGAAGCGTAAACGTCCCCGAGTGAGACGTCGTCGAGACACGCTCTGTGCAGAGGTTGTTCAACAGTTCGCTCGCTTCCCTCCGCGAGTTTGAGTAGGCGCTGCGAACTTTCTACGGTACGCCATGATTGAGAAATCCCGATACTCTACTCGGTATCGATGACGATTCGAGAGCAGAACAGAAAAAGAGGAAGCGGGAATATTAGAAGATGGGGACGACAACCGATTGGAGGACGACGACGACGAGAAGACTCGTTGGGTCAATGGAACAGACAGCACACGGGACGGCGGGCTCGCTCGTCCGCCCGCCCGCCGGCTCGATGAGTGGGAGCTAATCTTGTTACGAGGATTAAGATGTTTGCCTTCTAATTATCGCAGTTATTAACGGCACGACGACGGCAATGAGGAGAACGTTTCTTTCCCTTGACGATCTAGTTTATCCCGATCTTCGTCAGCCAGCCTAAAGAATGTCGGTTCGCCTGCTTGCCTGCGTGGTGCCTTATGTGCGAGGCCCTTCGATCCCTAGAGAACCAATCCGGAGAGGCCTCGGGAAAAATGCGCAAGGAAACGTTGTGTGTCCATTATTGTCATCACCACGCTTGCAATCCTGTGCTCTCCTCATATTCCGGGCGAGCAGGGAAGAAATAGAAAGAAGAAAATCTCAAGATAGCAGACGAATCTCTAAGTATGAATCTAGTAAGAAGTTATTGTCCGAGCTCCGCTAATATACTTCGAAGGATAGGGGTATTTTTTTCCTCGGCCCGGCTCCGGATCTGGCTCCGGGTTCCCTGTCCCATCACAAGGCACTCCGATGGACCGCAAGTCGTGCATAAGAGCAACAAGTGCGAATATATGTTTATCACATCGAACACTCTTCTTCGTTTCGGAGTTTCCAATGCTAATGGACTGACAGAATTGGGAGGGCGCCACCTTGTCATTCATCATGCCCGTTTATCAGCCGACAGAGTGGTGGCGTCAGCAGGGATAGCTCCGATCAGATGCGCTAGTTCTCCAGTATCTATCAATATCGACGACGGCTATAAATTTCGAATTTTTCCCGGCGGTTTGGATTTTTCGAAGATTTTCGAAGATTTCAGGCGATATATTCCTCTCACTCCACGCTTCTGGGCTCTGCATCACACGAACGAAACGACAATCTTTCCGTTTTGTAGCGGCCTAAAGCGACATCAAGATCATGGATTGTCAAAGTCTGATGGATCAGCTGCGTGTTGAGACTCCAACATTGAAATTCGCCCGACCACATGATACTGAATAGACAAGCGGGAACGAGAATGAGCTTTTCGTTTTGGATTGCGTATCCCCAATCGTACAGAATACCTCGATGGGTCCAGCTCCCAATCACTGACATCGTCTGTCACATGCGATTCTTTTCAAGAGCGTCCAGAAAGACGGTTCTCATCATTCAAGTCCTCGTTGGAAGTCCAATTGAAGTTCAGTGACGTTTCGGTCAAGATCTTCCATATAAGGACTTCGCTACATTTCCTTTTTGCCGGAACGGGAAAGTGAACGCCCCGGGGTATTTTTCTTATTCGTTTATCCATTACATGATTTGCCGCTGAGATTCCCAGAAGTCTCGTTGGGTTGATACATACAAGTTCATCTTCAGTCGCTGTCACACCAAGGGAGTTTGTTTACAATCATAAGGGCATCTCCCTCGGCGAGCCGAATAAGCGAACGAGCGTGAAGCTCGGTAAACTGGAATGATTGGGAAAGAGAGATCGGCACAAAGGGATCGGGAGTGCCCGAGAAAGAGGAAAGGCCCGCTCTGTGACGTACCCTCACAGTGTACGTGCATGGGCACTAAGACTCTCCTAATCGCCGCAATTGGAGATTTACCTGTGATCCCGGGCGACAATCCAGGATAAGGCCTCTGCTTCCGATATACGATCCGGGAGATGGGTTCGCTCGTGGGACAACTCCGATATAGCGAGCACTTCTCAACGTTCCTTCGCAACGCCGCTCGCGGACACTTGACCGCAATACAGAAGTATAACCCTCAAGGAAACTTCCAGCACAGGAACGTATTAGTGCCGAATCGCCGTAAATGATCGATACTGTCCCCGGAATCTGGAAGAATTGAGATTCACAGAGAGATGAAGAAAGCAGAACCTGCATCACAAAGCCCGCCTAGGGAAACAATTTATTCCGTTGAGAAAACTGAGTCTTTCCGCGAGCGAGTAGGTATATTTTTCTTCAGGAACCGGGAGCGATGGGTATTTTTTACAGGTATGCAGTGAAACTAGGCAGACACAGGTCGATGTGGTATGTCAGCGGGAATTCGGGATGATCTATGAATCTATCGCTGAAGACCAGTTTCACATAGTCTTTTCTCAGGAAGATGTCATATTGGGAATCGTTGGTGATTTTGACCAAGTATTCCACGCCGCTTGAAACTATTCTGAAGCATTGCTGGGACCCTGGAACAGAGAGCAAGATCACGTGAGCGAGCCTCATCCAGGAAAATTCGCGGATTCGACATCGCGGTCTGGATTATCTGTTGCTTCTCGCTAGCGTAGCTCATAGCTGTGCTGAGTCGGAACTACATCTAACAGAGAAAATGGCTCGCCAGCGTAGTGACACCATGAAGTTAGGGTTCCTGAGCGCAGTTAATTACTTCGATTGGTTTCGTCCAGATCGGGATTCCCGGCGATTTGATGCTCGTAAGAAGTCACGTGTAACGAATGAAAACTGAGCATAAGTAGATAATTCCTGTCAATAGTCTTGGAATAAGTACCGTCTGGAGTCGTAAAATCCTCGGAGCATGCGGGCAGCCAGGAACAGTCGAAACCTTTCCCAAGTGCCCGACTGCGCAGATTGAGTATTTTGACGCTACAGTCTTCCGATGCGTACTGTAAGATCTCGATTTCTGTGACCAATGGCATGGTAATAATTGATCATTCTATGGTCAACTAATGGAAGGGGAACTCGGACATGGCGGGGTTCATTTCAGCATGGAATGGGCCTGCTCAAGTCTGTGGATCCCTCTTGCTAGCATTCAGGTAAGTCGGAAAGTTTCGTGAGCCGTCCAGTCGGCTCCGGTCTCAGATGATACCATGATCGAAGACAGCCGATAACCTAAATGTTAGTGAGCGATTCATCTGACAGTTAGCGCTCCGAAAGCCAACAGAAGTATTCCTTCTTTCATCGCTAAATGCGATTTTTCTCTTCTTCGTCTTCCTATACCTGGTTGATGGCATCGCATTTGATGACATTATCCGATTCCCAACGTAGCGCTGAACACTGGCCGAAGATCCAGCTACAAATTAATGCCACATGAGCCCCCCTTACCGGCATCAAGAAAATGGCGGCTGAAATCAACACACTTTCTGTCGCTGACCTTTGCTGAATGTGAGATACCACCATCGGCATCAAATGAATCCGGGCGAATGTCCCTGGCTCAGCGAATTTATCGACGTTCTTTATTATCCGATTTATGTGTCCATAGCTGTTCCATTTTTCCCCAAAACTTATACGTGGCTCGAGCCGCCGATTACATCCGGCTCCGAATCTGAGCCGACTCATCAGCTCCTCGGCTCAGGTTCGAATTTTCGAGAGGAGTCGAAATGTCATCATCATAAATATAAACCATACACAACGCATCACTTACTACTCGACGAAGGAGCCGCTCACTAGTACGCCGCGTTCGGTAGGGACTCTTGTGAGTTGGCCTTCTTGACACCTCTCACGACAAGATACGATTCAGCTAGGTAGACAGAGCTCCTCTCCGGAATCTCGCGGATATTTCTGTCAACGATCACCCACGCAGTCAGTCACTCAGCGGAGTTGGCAGTTTGACACTCCTGAACAACACGACTGTCGACAAGTGGTGTGCCTCCAGAGACGGGCGTATAAATGAACTGAAGCGCGCTGCACGGAAAGTATTCCACACTCTGAAAGCAATACGCGCGAGGTCATAATCCAGTTCAATTTCTCTGAGCGCTCCCTCTCCACGAATAGTCAGTCTAAGCAGACGCGATGATGACACACTCTTCTAGGGTCCCTCGGAGGCACAATCTCTCAATCCATTGACTAGAACGCGAATCTGGAGTTCTGTCGTTGAGGAGTCGAAGTTTCCTCCCGAAAACTTCAAACAATGAGACTCCGGAAAGGCAGTTCGTCGCAATTCTCCGACTGTTCCACGACTCCCCTGACCGGAGTCTTAACGCTTTCCTTAAAATATTGGCTCCGCGCAAGAGTTCATGCCTACTCGACAGTATTGAAGGTTTGGGCTGAGTCGCCGAAGCTCAAGGAATTCCGTGAATATCGCGATCTGTCGAGTCGCGTCTGATAGCTCAGCGCAGCCTACTCGACCACGTGTATACCACACAAGGCAGCGCTGATGGCTGCGGAGTCATATTTCGGACACCGACTCTCCTCGACGCGTTCTGAGGTCAGCCTTGATCGAATAGAACATCGATCGGAAAGTCCCTGGCAAATATTGTAATTATCGGCTTATGATTGGCCTAGTCTGTCATTTCGACTGCCCCTGGATCGACGTCTCCAGCGGTCAAACTTCGCCGATGTTGTCTTCGATTGTAAGGTCGGCCGTCAGGCGAGTGAGACGAAGAAGGAATCATGGGAAACCATTGCTCTGAATATCATTCAACTACTAAATCGCATAATGTCCAAGCGATCATCAGTCCGAATGCGAAGCTCTCGCTATCACCCCGAGCAAGGTATCCTCGCATAGGCATTCGCCTCCGTTCTCCCAAATACCGCTATTCCTACGCTGTATAATACAATGTCTTCGCTCCACGCCGTCGAGTGCAATAATTCCCGATCGATTACTCGCTTGCGATTCTGTGAACTCTGAAGCACTTTAGGCTTTCGGATTATTTGTCAACTGATAGTTTACTTACCTTCAAGTGGTTTGCGGAGCTGTCATCGACGTATGGGGCAGAGAACCGAATTGTCGCTGCCAATTATAATAATTGAATGTAATCAATAGATTCCACATTAATGCTTTCCGCACGATTCAGAGGTCGGTCCGCGAACGGTTAAGCCTCGGAAGAAATGTCGAGTCATTTTTGTGGGCTCATGCTTTTCGGGCGGCTCAAGGCTACTCCTGTCAGTTCAGCGGCCCGCTTGAGCATCATGATGGGCCACATGCAACCTCTCGTATATCCACAGCTCATTTCCGGGACCACTTGCGGTGGCTCCAGCTTCAGATCCGATCTCTATCCGAGAATCGTTTAATATCTCCGGGAAATGCATTCGTTTATCGCTTTTCACGGAAGTCTTCGACGCTAAGAATTCTTCACGAAGAAAAAGAGTTCTCAGTGTCCCCTAATCACACCCGTCTGACTGATTGAGGTCGATGTATCTAGAAAAGACTCCCAATCGATGGGAAACCACCGCTCTCAGAACCGATTCGGTGGAGAAAAATTTCACTGTGGTCTCATTGACAAGATATTTGCTCAGCTAATCAGAGGAGCACGTCACTGTCGATCCTCTTCGGGAACTAACTTTTTTTCTCGCGTCTAGGGATACAACGCTGTGGCGTCTAGCGATGCTGTCAAGATTCAATCAAAGAAACTCATTCATAAAAGTTGGTTCCGCAAGTGCTTCTTAACACTCGCCTTAATGCGTCGTCACTTTATGTGACAATCCAACCACTGTGGTCGAGCCGAAGCGGAAAAAACTCCCTCCGCATGTTGATGACCGCAGCGGCGCGGCGTCGATTGATTGCGACACCGATGAGTAATTGATTTTATTGGTTTTCCGGAGCTAGGCAGAGCCTTTTTGTAGAAAATCAACCAACAGACTCGACAGTCAAAATTCCGAGGTGCGGAGAAAAAGTTGTCGGCGATGGATCGCAGTATGTGGCTGATGCTTGCACAAGTCACACCACCGACGGATGTCCGGCATCAGTGGCTCAGTCTGGCGAGGGCGAGAAAGCGTTTTGTCGTTTATTCTAGCAGGAACATTGAAACAATCGGAGGAGGGCCTCGTTGCACGAATACAATTTTGACACAAATTCATTGTCATGAGCACCATGATGGCAGCGACCGTCAGGCCCTTGAGAACGCAGGATTTTTCTTGTTACATTCGTATGCCTAACTCATTGGGGACTGATCCCATCGAACGTTTATGAACACTCCGGTTTTCTTCCTGGAGCGCATCAAATTGGGAGTCGTCATGATGGTGAGAGGCAGATTTCCGTTTCTTACCCACTAGAGCTCGTCCCGACTCTCGGATGGATGTACGTAATCAATTTTTGGCTTGCTCTTGCCTGAAAGATTCGCTTCAATCTTTCAATCTTCCCTTTCGCCGCTCATAGCATGCTTGAATACGGACCAGAAGAGATATTGATATTCGGCCATCGCCGGGAAAATGTCCAAAGTTCGCGCAGTAGATTCGGACGAGCCTAATTCTCATTCCAATCTCCTGTGTTCCCGCAGCAGGCGAACAATGATTCATGAGAACTCGTAGGTCCTCAATAATGATTGCTTCTCAGACAGACACTGCGAAAGTGTTAGTCAGTATCGCGGTCAGCCGTCCTGCGTCTCAGGGGGGTATATCAGTGATTCTTGAGAGCGTGGAAAAAATTCCTTTGAGAGCGGCGCGAACTCCCCTGCAATTCCGTTCCGCCATCCCTCGCCTAAGTTGCAACCTTGCTACAGGCTCGGTGACACGTTTTGGGGTCATGAATATTTCGCTGAAGTGGCAACCCTGTGAGCAGCGCATTAAGGGAGCGTGTGCTCGGGCCGAGCGCTGTCTTCGTCGACGAGCTTGGGAACAGCGGGAGTAGAAAAAGAAACTGGGTGAGCGATGCGGCAAGTGTTTTCGCTAAAAGACATATGACCGCTAATGATGACTCCATGCTGCTCGCTGAGCTCAAATAGCAACGCTTTTAAGCATGAAGCCTTCAACTGCCGAGACTGCCAGCAAGCGTGCCGAGGTTCCTATCAGCAGCCGCTTCCGTACGCTCCGGCCCGCGGCCCCGCTCCGCGAGAACTTTCGTTCCGTGTTGACGCGCAGCCCAACTCCTGTTCACAGCCAGTCGACTCAGCTCTCGTACTTCGCCATGACCCCCTCCCCCTCCCTACGGAATCTGAATAAGAGGCATAACTGGCATGGGATCCTACGCGACGCAATCGACAGTGTGGGTCATCAAATAACAATTGAGCGCAGACTCGCCCTATTTCCATTCGTGGGCCCGGGTGGGCTCTCCCCTCGGCGGATAGTTGTGTGGGTGAGTCCCCGACCTAAGGAGCGACCAAGCGGCTGACTGTCTCTTCCGCTAACCTTCTCCGAGCGCTCATTACTCCGTTTGAATACAATGCTCCCGGTCGGTCAGTCTCCCGAGCATCGGAGCGACTGACTATCCAACGAACGAGTGAGCAGCGAACAGAGCAACTCGTATCGGTTGGTCGCTCAGTCCTCCTGAATGGGGAAACGTCCGGACGACGCGACGCTTGAGGAGGGAATAGACTAGGCAACAGAACGGAGATTCCCCCGACGAATATCTCACTCGACGGGAGGGCGAAGTATTCGACTCGACTTACATACATAGAATAGAATCAGGCTCATGGCGATCACCGTGCTCATCATTGGACGCTTGTTTGTATTTGTGCTTTGCAAACCCTACTTGTTTGATTGTGCCTGGCTGTTGTCGAACAGACTGCTCGGCCCTTCTTCTCCTTGTCCGACTCACCGTCCTCGGAGCAGATCGCGCTGCGAAACTTCACCGGTTTCCCGCAATTCCAACGCCACTCGACCTCCGACAGGGAGTCGGAGAAGGGACGCGGGCGGACGTGAATTCGCGTGAGCTCCACTGGGTGCTCACGGGATCAGGGGACGATCCGCCTTGGACCCTACGCAAGCCTAGGAATCGGAGCCAGGGTTGAAGCTCGCGCCATCTCGTGAGTCGAGTTCTTTGGGATCCACGAGGGAGTTTTTTCCCGGAGACGAAAGAATATAATAGATGAAATATATTCGACGGAAGGACCGAAGAAGTTTCGGCCTGAGGCTGACAGCGACGGTCGACGAATTCAGGAGAGATCGTTAGTCTCCTTTTCTTTCATCGGGTCGAATGCCGTCTGTCGGAGTCACTCAGCCTGCGGAGTTCCTCTCACAAAAAATTTGTGTCCTTCAAAAAATCAACGACTCATTACTCATCGACTCTGACCATGATGACAACGACAACAACAACAACAGCGAAGGAAACAGCCTTGACGACGCTGCCAACGATATCTCGTCTTTGCGATGATCTCCGCAACGGCAATAGCTTCCGAGAAGACGGAGGAATCATAGACGGCGGCCACGACCGCCGATAGCGGTGCCACTACCGAAAGGAGCCACTGCCGCTGCCACCGCAACCTTTGAGTCGGAGATAAAACCTTCATCATGCCATACACATCGATGATTTATACGAGCGGAGTCGTCGTCGTGTTTGCCTGCCATCAGTGGACCCTCGGGAAACAGAGAAGGCCGAGAGGAACTCCTCTGGTAGTTAACCCAGCGACGAGGAGGGTATCGGTCGAAGTGATCTCTGTACCAACAGGCATCTTCGTACCAATACTACAAATCTCGGTCATCATCTTTTGAGCGGCTGCACACAAACAATCGGTTCCCTGAACATGAGGCCGAATGTGAACGGTCATTTTGATTGAGTTCGAACGCCGCTCCTCCTCTTGTGACATGGCATTGGGCGGACTCTTCTTGAGAGCCTTCTCGTGTTCAGGAAGACAGTTCGAGATCCAACCCAAGAAGCTTTTGTTTCAAAAGTGCATTTGCTCGACATGCTGGTCGAAGAGATGGGGACGTCCGATCGCTGCATACAATGGTTCTTCGTACAATGGGGACTACCCTTCCT